GCAGTCTAATAAAAATTTAATTACTATTTTCAGTATGTCCCAAATTCTGTCAAGTTGCATGAAAACAGTGAAAATGTGGAGAAGGATGAGGGAGGGAACAAACCCCAGATAAGCAAGCAAATAAGCAAGCCAAAAAAAAAAAACCCAAGTTAATGTGCAGTGCCCTAAATCCACTCTCTAGAGCTGGTTAATCAGGGGTCTTCAGTTTTTCATGTTCAGCGCCACATGGCATATGCGAGCCATGACAAGACTCTAAGGAATCAGGGAAGCTGGATTCTGGCTGGCATATGAAGTCATTCCTGAAGTGCCACTGCCTGTGACATGACGGATGGTTCCAACATCTTTGCTTGCCTTTGGGACTTTTCTGTAACAGGTGCAGGAGATGAACTTCTCTTGCAGCCTTCCTGGAGAGTATGAGAACAACCCGCCACCAGTCCTGGATGCCAGATCACAGATGAAGATGGCTTCTCTCATACTAGCAGGACTCATGGCATTCTTGTGAATGAGCTGCAGGGACCTGCTCTTCTGCAGAAGGAAATGCTGAATGCTCTGATTTACTGTCACCATGGGACTGGGAACATAAAAGGCTTGGCTTTCCCAGCAGTTCTGTCTTGGCACATGTACTCCACGGCATCCTCCACACTGAGAACCACCCTGAAGTGCAAGGCAAAATGCTACAGCTGGGACTGGAAATCTGCTCTGTCTCTAGAGTAGTTTATGTGTCCCAAACCCTGCAGTGACCTGACTAATTAAAACAGTGGGTGAGAATTAGCTCCAGCTCAAAGCACATCTCCCATGGGAAGAGGCACGGACACTGCTGAGGCAGGTTGGTTGGGGTGGTGGGAGTCACAGTGCAGGCTATGGTACTGAGTGGGTAGCAGGAAGCCAGTACAAGCCTGCAGGACCATCACTCCTCACATCCTCCACAGTTACCAACCCCAGAGAGGGGCAGATGTCCTCCTGGTCTTTAGAACCAGCCAAGTCAAGTCAAATGATTGAGAGCAGGCTTAGATAATGGTACACAGAAATGATTCACAGTTCAGCTGTCTAAAAGGTTGAAGTAAAAGGGGCAAGCATGTAGCATTCCAAAGGGCAGATAATAGCACTCCTCAGTAGGTCCTGTGGTTGGTTAAATAAAGAATTTATCTCGTCTTCAGTTTCTGTTAGTTGCTGGTTATGTGACTCACTTAAAAAAAATGATACCCACAAAGCACTGACAACTATTTTGTCACTTGGTGTTTCTTTTTACAATTACCTAGAAATAAGGCTTTTGTTTGGAAAAAGGGGATGGAAGCAAAGATTCATTAGTTTAAGTTTTCCCTTAAAAATATCTTGCACTAGATGCAGGAAAGGAATGAAAACTGCCTAGCCTTCGTAGCTATGAATAATTTCCATAACTACAGAAGAAATCCAGAAACAAGGATATGGGCCTCAGCAGACTAAAACCCACTTACCAATCTTTCATCACAACCTCTGCACATCTTGGATGTGAGAAGCAACATTCATTATTTGAATGTTGTGCAGCATTTTACAGACTTATTTCCCCCTGTCGTTCCTGAGAGCCTTCTGACTTACAATAATGGCTCATTATTTGGGCAGAGAAGCATTCCTGAAAAGTGTTTTATTTGCTTTTGCTCATGGATCACTGATGGAAATGAACAGCTGGCAAATTAAATCACTCTGGTACTCAGGGGCCAGGGGGAGAGGAAGATGCCTTCAACTTCAAGAACTGTTTACATTTCTTTAGAAAAAGAGTGGGTTTTCTCTCTTCTGTTATATACCAACCTTGGTTCAACCTTCATCAACCACATTTTTTCTTCAGGATTCATGTGCATGGAACAAAAGAATGATAGAAAATCCAAATGGCAGGGGGGTTGGAACTAGATGATCTTAAGGTCCTTTCAAACCCTAACTATTCTATGATTCTATGATTTGGTGTCTTGGGTTCAACAATAGCAGTCATTTTTCTCCTTCTTGGTAGCTGGTGCAGTGCTGTGTTTTTTACTTTAGGCCTGGGAACAGCGCTGATTGATAACACCGATGTTTTTAGTTGCTGCTCAGTAATGTTTAGTCTGACCAAGGACTTTCTGAGTTTCATGCTCTGCCAGGCAGGAGGGGAAGCTGGGAGGAAGCAGAGACAGGACACCTGACCCAAACTGACCAAAAAGGTATTCCATACCACAGCATGTCATGCCCACTACATAAGCCGGGGGCAGTTACCCAGAAGGGTTACATCACTGCTCCGTCAGGCTGGGTACCAGTCGGCGGGTGGTGAGCAGTTGTATTCTCTTCCCTTATTATTTCCCTTACCATTATTATTATTGGTGGTATCAGCAGTGGTTTATGTTATACCGTAGTTACTGGAATGTTCTTATCTCAGCCCGTGGGAGTTACATTCTTTCAGTTCTCCTCCCCATCCCTCTGGGAGCAGGGGGGAGGAAAGGGGAGAGAGTGAGAGAGCGGCTGCCTGATTCTGAGTTACCAGCTGGGCTTAAACCATGACATTTGGTTACAATATATTTTTGTCTTCTTAATTGTTTAAACATGGCTCCATACTGTAGCATGGACTAGAGCTAACCTGGTTGTAGCTTTGAGGCTACAATTGGAGGTCTTTGTTACAGTAAAACACTGAACTTACTTAGGCTTTATTTATAGTATGGAGGTAGCAGCTTCATTAACATATATAGGTGTCCTTGTTTAAAAAAAAAACAAAACAGGTTTGATTCATATACCAGATGCTGTGTAATTTTTTGGTGTCACAGGCCTACTGCATGGGCATTCCTTTTGGCTCTGACAGTATTTGATGCTGCTGGCATATTTTAGCAGTTGTCTGCAGTAGGAGCGAGTTCCTGATGGTCCACAATGTAGCAATAGTGAGACACTGAACTCAGTCTGAAGGTAAAGCTAAATCCGTGCACACCACCTTTTTCAAAACTTCTTTTTCTTTTCCTCAGTACTGCTGAAATTCAATGAACTACTCCTTATTAGCAGATATTAAGAACTGTTACAAAGGATACAATAATCTGATAATACTGACCAGTATCTTGTTGATCTATCAAATAGCTCTGAACTTGGTCTCATTTATAACAGTGCAGATCAGATGCAAACTGGGCAAACTGCTTTGTGAAAAAGGATTTAACTCTTTGAAGTGTCTCTTCTCCCCCTTCCCAAACATGAGCAAGGGATTTGAATAATCCCAAATTCACTGCTGTTAATGACAGATCAGATTTGGAAAAATTATTAAAGTTGGGGTTCTTTTCAGTTTTAACCCTTGCTTTTATAGCAAGTAAATATTTCCCATAGTGAGATTTAGTCCTTCTGCTATAAAGTAAGACATTATGGCAGAGAAAGAGGAAAAGGAAGAAAGAAAGAAAGAAAAAGATTTCCTGAACTCCTTGTAGTATTCCCAGAGGACATCTCAGCATCAACTGGAAAGTTTCACAAGCTGTCTGTGAACATCAGAGAGTAAAGACTCATTTGGGCTGTGGCTTTGGTGAGTCAATCTGCTCACACTTCATCAGGAATGTCAGGGGATCCTGATAAAATGACAATGATGCTGTGCACTGGGTAGAGGAGAACATAAATAAGCTACCTAATTCCATTTCTTTTAGCATTTCTTTATATCCATATGTTCAAATCATATCACACCAGCCAGCCTCTGTACTCAGAGAATTCCTCTGAATTGGATTAGGTAATATATTGAAAGCCATATTTCTTGTAGCGATTTTGAGTTTTGTGTGTGTGCATTATATCCCTATAACTGTGTTTGCGTATGCAGAACACAATTAAAGGCTGATTCTCACAGTCATTTTGCTAGAAATCAAGGTCATCCCCTGCAAGTCATTTGCTATAAAACCTTGTGACAAATAGATGAATTTATATGCAAAAATACATGAGTATTATGGAAGAGTTATTAGTTACCCTTTTATTTTAACACAACAGAGTAAAGAACCGGCAGGCAGAGCACTGCTTTCCCTGATGAGAGATCCATGCTAAATCAAGGATTTAATTAAACTTTGGGATATCTCTCCTTTCCCACTGGAAAAGATGCTACTGACAGCCACCAGGCCCTGTGCTGCTCTGACCTGCTGAGCAGAGGGCGGCATGGGAAGCACAGCATACCTCTGAGCACAGATTAGAACACTGATGAACCTTGCTCCAGTTTCAGATACAGGTATCCTATTTTATTTGACTTGCCTAGATGAAGAATATTAACGGTAAACAAACTAACTAACCTCTAGAACAATATCCCAGGGAAAGAGTGGGTTCTTCGGCACCATAAGCTGTGCACCTCTTAGTCTGCATAGCACAGCAGATGTAGAGACCATACTTGTTACACTGAATATAAGAGCTCTTCATGGAAGGCCTGTTTGTCTGAAATACCTTTAAAATACCTGGTGGTTTTGATGTTCTTCCAGTACACACTGGTCAGTTAATAATAGTCATTTTGAATTCCTTCTCTTTACTGCTGGCCATGAAAATACTTGCATACAGACATGTACAATACTGCGTGCCTAGATGGCCTATACACTAGACAAGCATTTGCAAACCTAATACCCTGCACACCGCTTACTGTTTCCATTTACTTATCACAAGTTTTTGCACATATTATTTCATAAATGTATTTTACACAACTGCCTGCTCCACAGCTTTGGCTCATGCCCTTCCTACATCGTGGTGAGCAGCTTTTTCCTCCCTTGCAGTGCATGCCCAAGCAGGGCAGTCAATGATAGAAAACCAGGGTCAGGCATATTGCCCTTGGTCCATGTACTTGGAGCTGGCACTGACCTTAGAAAAACAGAGGAAATAAATATAAATAAACAGGAAGATTTTTTTTGTCACCCCCTCAGGCTGTTTGATAATTGTACAGTTGCTAGATCTGATGCAAAGGGGGAGGTCTGAAAATGCAGTTGGGGGTTCCAGAGAAAATGGGGCCATCCCATTTGGGTAGCAGCCCACTGTTAGATCAAATTATGCTGATCATGAAACCATATCCGTAGACAGGAACCCACAGCTGCAATTGCAGAGAAAGTCCTTGAGCATGCGCGAAGCAACTGGAATATTCTGGAAATGCAACTGGGAAAATTCAGGAGTTCACAGCTGAGCATGTGCAAAGCACAGCAAGTCAAAGGTCTGCAAGTTGGCATCACTTGGGGAGCTTTTTGTGTGGACGCCAAAAGGCAGCACACTGCTGCGACAACAAATCTTATCTCTATCAATTTCAAACCCTTGTTCCAAAGCAGGGGATAATATATTGGTCAAAGAGAAGGCCATGAAGGTATATGTGATTGTGTATTTTGCCTGAATAGCTGGAGAAAAACTGAATTGTTTTTACTACCACTTCCTTGGAACACTCATTCTGATATTAGGTCTTATATGGAAAATTTTATCTGGAACAACAGAAAACTGTATGACTGCAGAGAGAAGTGATGGCTGATCTACCTGCTTTCATGTTTCAGATGCTGTCTGCTCAGGTCTGCAGCAGTTTCTGGTTACCCTTGGTTTTGCACCCACCAACTTGAGCTGCTATTCACCATCAGCTTCCAGAGATGGTCACTTCCGCAATATCCTGTGGGCCAAAAACCTCAGCAGGGGCAGCATGTTTTCCTGGCAAATCATATCCTCCCCCTTCAGGTGATGAACCTGAAGGTCTCACAGTAAGTCAGCTTTTGCCAGGCTTTATGTTTGTAGCAATTAAATTTTTCTTTATCCTTCTCCTGAGTTCATTATGCCATGCTTCTCCATTCCTCATCCTGTAAAGCACTGGTCTAATAGTATTTTATCGTGACCAGGATCGCTGAGTCCAATCGTTACCCAAGCACTGCCAAGTCCACCACTAAACCGTGTTCCTAAGCATCACATCTACACATCTTTTAAATACCTCTAGGGATGGTGACTCCACACTTCCCTGGGAAGCCTGTCCCAATGTCTGACAACCCCTTCAGTGAAGAAATTTTTCCTAATATCTAATCTAAACCCCCCGTGGCACAGCTTGAGGCCATTACCTCTTGTCTTTTTCACATTCCTGTCCTATTCTGATTGCTTGTTACTTGGGACAACAACCCTCACCTCGCTCCATCCTCCTTTCAGGTAGCTGTAGAGAGCTATAAGGTCCCCCCTGAGCCTCCTTTCTTCCAGACTAAACAACCCCAGTTCTCTCAGCCACTCCTCATTAGACTTGTGTTCCAGACCTTTCACCAGCTTTGTTGCACTTGTCTGGACCCACTCCAGAACCTCAATATCTTTCTTGTAGTGAGGGGCCCAGAACTGAACGTGGTATTTGAGGTGCACCCTTACCAGTGCCGAGTACAGGGGGACAATCACTGCCCTAGTCCTGCTGGCTATGCTATTTCTGATAGAGGCCAGGATGCTGTTGGCCTTTTTGGCTGCCTGGGCACAAGCTGGCTCATGTTCAACCATCAGTCAGCACCCCCAGGTCCTTTTCCACTGGGCAGCTTTCCAGCCACTCTTCCCCAGTCCTGTAGCATTGCATGGAGCTGTTGTGACCAAAGCACAGTACTCAACTTAGCCTTGTTGAACCAAGTACTGCCTTTTAACAAATTAAAATTATCTTAAAGGGAATAAAATGCTCCCCACAGAACTATAAATTGATTTTTTAAAACACAAGGATACTCTGAAAGGATTTACTCATTTTCATTGAAATAGTAATATGGAGCCTACTGCCTTGCTCTCCCTCACAGGATATGATCAGTTTCCCATGAGATTCTTTATCTCATTAATACACTGCAGCTACAGCTGTTCATTTTATGCTCCTCATATACATCCCACAGGCTAAGGCATACAAAATAACTACAGAGGCCTCCCCTTGAGTATGAACAGACTGAAATGGACTCCCTGCTCAGTTGGAGGAAAGAGGAAAGAAGGACAAAGAGTGGACTTTGCCACTTTTCCACAGGAAGTTTAATAGATGTTGTCCACAGCTGACCAAGCAGGCATGGCAGGACCAAAGCAGTGAGAGAGATCCTGATTCCACTTCCTCTCTCCCTCCTTATTATAGTTCTTGCCTCACCTCACACTCCTAGACCCACGTGACTCAAATATTTCAATGTCTAATAGCATAAAGACAGTTCTGATTTGTGGGGTTTTCGTCTTCCAGTCTGAACTGAGCAATGTAAAAGGGAATTCAGGAGAGGAAATCCAGAAACAAGGTGATGAGCCCTCATCAAATGCCTGACTGTCCTGCTCTCACTTAAAGTAGGATCCCTTTACACTATCCTGCATGCAGAGTAAATGCAGTTGTGCAGAGAAAAGACATCTCGTGGAAACCGAATTCATGTGATTGCTTGTTATGTTTTCACTGAAACATGGTTAGATCACATTTTAGCCCAGATTTCTATACGGCTATTCAAATAAGTACTATGAAACAAATATGAGTAGGAGTTTACCCTCTCATGCCTTAACTGGTTCAAGGAAACAAAAAAGCAATGGCATTATTTTAAAAGCCATTGTTTTGCTGTATCAAAATGCTCTGTTGTTGGGTTGTCACAGAACTCTGGGGCAACAGGATGCATGATACAAATCTAGATGAAAAAAATACAGGAGCAGGGGGATAGAGGAATTAAATCCATTGCAAGAACATTGTGGATGACTGCTATTTCTGCAGAGAACATGGCAGGTGAATTTACCTTAATTGTAGAGTAAAAATGGAGTGAGCCAGCATCAACACTTGCAAAGTTCTTAAACACAGAATAAAATTTCTTTTGGAACACAAAACCACCTGAATTTCAGTGTTTATTCTGTTGTTGCAATGATGAAAGACTGTGAAATATAAGCATGCAGACTTCAGGATGTCTGTAGGTACTTCTGTGGTTTGAACACCCTGGTGCTCAGTATATCAAAATCCCCATGGAGGTCTATAATCGTCCTTCTACATACTGCCTGTCTAGTATCTGTAGTACTTGGCAAATTTAGCACTGGTATATCCCTAGCATGCAGCTGAGGTTTCAAATTGCTGATGAGGCCTTTTGCTTCTTTAAACATGGTACTAAGAGTACCTTAGAGTTCTGAGCAATATCACCCTTTTTTTAGATCTGTTCATTCATCATAATACTGTGCCAAGGGTTTGTTAGGTAAACTTGATTGACAGACACCCATCTTTATCCTCTGCATGTCTGGAGGTCAGCACTGGTGGAAAGTAATGCTTTTTTAATTAGCTGCTAAGGTATTAAATTTCCTTTGTGTGGATTGCATGTTGCATTCCTGTGAGTCACTATCTGAAGAGACTGTCTTTGCATTCACTATTCAGTATAACACAGACAAGCGGAGAAGAGTCATAAAAGATTCATATCAAAGATGTTTATGAGAAGTCTTGGATCTAGACAACCTCCAAGTTTTCCAGCAGTAACTGTAAGACAAGAAAAACAACAGCTTTAAAATGACAGACTCCAATTCAAAGATGCACTTTACACTCTGCAGCAGAAATCACAAAGCCAAAATACTGGCTATAAATTGTGGATGTCATCCCAGGTTCTTTATAGATACCGATTCCACAGCTAGAAACACAAGTTTTAGAAAAATTGTGTGCAGAAAGGTACAACAAATCAAGTGTTCAAGAAGACAGTGATCTGCTATTCTACTGAAACTGGATTTTTATTTACCTAATATCACCCAATGCATAAATACGTTGTGGCAGGTATTCTAAAAACTACCAGCAAACCTCTAGCAAGGCAGGGGTATTTGAGGAAAACACAATACATGTGAAAATTTATACAGGTCTGTTTCTGATAAGATTACAGTAGACTAGAGATGAAGAGGAACTGCAGAAGAAATGGAACAGCAGGGCATCCATGTAGATTCCACATAGATGGGCAACATGTTCTCATGTTCTTAAAACTTACAGTCATTTATCATATCAATAAATGACACTACTTGTTTTTTTTTCATTTTTACTTTGTAAAGTAAAAAATAATAAAGTGCTGCTACCAGGACTAAGCTAGCTTTATGATAAAACTTCATTTGAGACTCTGAGACTCCAAAATTCAAGGACTTCCTTAGTAGTAGTCAGCCAACTGCAGCTTAAGGAGCAATAGCAGGGTCACTAGTGGCAGCTAGCACTGAAGATACTCCTCAAAATGGGGTTTACTAGAACCACACATACTTAACATATGAATGCCACAGTGAATTTTTGGAAAAATGTCCCCTTTCTTTTCTGGTTGGGAGTTCCACCTATAAAACGATATCATAATTAAGTACTTGCTCCAGCAACTAATTCAATAAAGCTATAACTTAGGCAGGGACTCATTTACACTTAGATTATCCCTGCTACTCAGAAAAAGTTGAACAAAATGCAGCCATACATTCTGTGCATATAAACAGTGAGATCTGGCCTCAGTCCAGATGGCGTTATATCCCATAGTATGTAGAAGTATGTGCATATGTTATGTGTAAACATTCATAAATATACTTCAGCTTTCCCTTCAATAAGCTGGCTCCGTAAGTATTTTCACTTGAACTGGGGAATTGCTACTTAGAATAACACTTCCTAAGATAATGTCCCAGCGAGACAGAGAGGCATAGGCTCATGATAAATCTTGCTGCAGACAGGACTGGAAAAACTCTAATCTCCAGCTAGCTCCAGGTGGTCTTAGCCAACTCATTAGCTATGGTGCAGAAAACTAAACAAAAATGCGTAATAATGGCTGGGATAATCAAATAACATTGCAAATAGGTTATTTTGAATCAAACCTACAGGCTGCTCAGAGAAGTTTGTAAATGACTCTCTGTTTCCCTAAGCATTTTCTGTGTGAATAATCTCATATGTTATGTGTCATGTGTGAAAACTGTAAAATATTCTAAAGTTTATTTGAAGTTGAATGTTTTGCCTCGTTTTTTCCTTCTTTTCACACATGCACAGAGTCATAATGCTTATTAGTAGAATCTATGTGTAAAAGTCTAAGTAGGTTTAAGAAGTTACTTTTCTTTGCATGTTTCTAAGATGTATAAAATGATGGGAGAAGAATATACAGAAGGGGAAACACTGTTTATTAGAGATAGTTCAATTGGTAAAGCATAGAGATGATAGCTTTCAAAACAAGAATTCTGAAAATATTTATGCAAAAGGAGAAAACCAGACTGAAGCCTCAGCTTCTCTGCTGTTTTTATAGGACATTTAGAATTTTAAATTTCTTTGCAATGGTTTCAGAAGTTCATTTCATTAGTTTTTCTACTACTTGCTTTTCCTAACCTGCCTGCTTTTGGATAGCATGCAACATCTGTCATACCAAACAATTTCTGGAACCTTGGTTATTCTCAGCATGTGTTTACGGTATACAGAATGTGGTGTCTGTGTTTCCAAATACATAATACACTTTCTGTTTAAAGATGAAGATAGACTCTGAGATTGAAGGCAGCATGTCAGTGATAGGGCAGGATATTTGCTGGATTTTTTTACCTGTTCTTTCTGTAGTGATTCTAATTTGGGAAAGGAGAAAAACAAAAGTTGTCTTTTCCATCACATTTAATTGGCCTGTGGAAAACACAGGAGTCTCACTCAAGATTTATAAACAAATACGCCATTATGTTTCTCATTAGGTTGAAGAATACCTGGATAAGTGGTAGCTGTCAGATACAATAAGTGCCCCCCTCCTCTTTTGCTTATATAATAATCCCAGCATTCAAAAGACTAATCACTACACACTGATCTACAAAGCATCTTATTTCCTCATCAAATTTCCCTGCTGGGCTTAGCC